CGTTAAGCACTTAGGCATCTTGTCATTCCATGGATAGAAACAGTGAATTCAATTTCGTGACGTTAACTTTTTTTTGCCTGGACATTTCCAACGCTTTCAAATTCAGCATAATAAGATCGAAATATCTTCCCAATTGCATTTGATCCCTATTTCAATATAGAAAACAGTTTGTCGACTTGATATTGATTCCAGACGACATTAAGGAAGTAACGGAACTGTTTGGCCATAGTTCCCTTGATAGCATCATTGCGGTTTAGAAGTCCCTACTTCAACCTATTTAATAAAGGTTTCTTATTCTGTAAATAGCAATTAAATCGTACTTATTCAAAACTCGTGTTTTCTAACTGCCAAAGGAAAATTATAGTTTTCGAACATGCATCAAACAAAAAACCAATATTTCCTAAAAGAAATGTTGATTCAATTAAAAAAATATATATAATTTACATTCAATGTTAAATAGTCCTAGTTGTGGTAAAGTTTTCATTTTCCATAATATGTTACAAATTTGTAACAATCTGTACCACATGACTTTGTATGACTCATGACCGCCAGCCAGTTATTGTTTTTCTTCTCACTGAATAATTCGTGCCAAAATATTATAAACTCTGTGTAGGAGTAGAATCATTGTAAAAAGAACCAAAAATAAATGTATGTAAACATGTTTATAGAATGGAACGGTTGGTTGGTTGGTTACTTTTGTGAAATAGATCCTGTGATTTAAGCCATGGCATTTATTTTTAGCCAACTGCGATTAGTTAAATGTCTGAGTGTTTGTGTGTATGAGTTGTTTTTTGTGTTAGTGAGCGTGTATTTCGAAGGTTAAAAATCAATAGTTTAAAAGTAAAATTAACCTTGAAAAGAAATAAAAATAAGTAAACAATAATAACAAGAAATTCAAATGTATTACAAAGGAATGTACTATCTATATGTATTACATGTGTCTATATGTATTTATCATTAGTAAACACATTAAAACGATTTACATATATATTCCTATATCGAAGAAGAATATGTTTCTACTTTATTTTGAATATTGTCTCATTACTATAAACTTTAGTTCTAGTTTTGGAAGTCCGGATCGTTAGAATACAAATGGTATTATTTGTGTAAATCTTATTGAAGTTTATTTTCCTTAACTTTTTAAGTGCAGAATAAGTTGGTTAAATGTGTTTTTAAATAGGAATTGTTCCCAAAAAATTTTATATATATTTACCCTTTCATTTTGCCCACAAAATTACTTTATGACAACCCACTGCACAAAGTTCATTTGTCTATTTCGTTCTTTTAAAATGTCATCATACATTGCCTATAAAATACATTGGAAAATTTATGGGAAAAATTATTAAATTTCTATTTACGAAAATCTATTTTTACAAAAATGTAAAATGCCATCCATTGCCTTTTAAAAATATTGATTTAAAATCTGTAGTCTCTTTTGCCGCATGCATTATATCCATGTCCGTATGTATGCGTGTAAGTAGGTGTGTTTATAAGTCTGAAGATAATTTAATATTCTCTTACAATACTAGTGTTTAAATATAGTAATTTTTAAGATCTTTTTTTTGCTGATTTAAATTCTCATGCCAAAGACCTTGCGCCACATTAATGAAAACATGTTGAAAATCACAACGCCTCTACTTGTTTCTTTATTTCATTTTTATTTTATTTTAAAATTAAAGACTACTAAAGTCATCTGCAAATGCTTGTAACTAGTGGATTATTTGACCAAGTTGTTATTTTATATACATACATGCAAACGTTATATAAATAGCTGATAAAAAAATACGTAAACAAATACAGACATCAGTTACAAATACAAAGAAAACGGCAGACGTTAAATATATAAAATAACTTTAGGATATTAAAGGATAATACAAATTGTTTAACATACCCAGCAAAAACGTGATCATCACTTGTACCTACGTGGGCATCACTTGTACTTAACATCACTTGTACTAACTTTTCAATGACTACTACATACCGCCTGCATTACTTAGAATGAGTATAGTAATTGCATACAAAGTGCTTAATTTTTTTCTCAAAAACAAAACTACTTACTTAACTCTTTAGTAAGTACTTACCTAACTCCCTACTTCTAAGCGAGCATAGTAAGAACTTGCCTATATTGTCATCAATGTTATGATCATTTTAAGTTCAAAACTTACATCCTGTCTGGAACTTATAGAAGGAACATTTTAGAGTTACGAGACTTTTTAGGATTTAAAATTTAAAACGCTAGTCATCTTTGGATAAGTAGTGCCAATGTGCCTTTTTTGTGGTGACAATTCACTTTTGACCAAGGGTGTATCAAACTGTAGTTTGTCACAGCCATAAAGATTGTAGTTATGGCAACTAATTATTGTCTATTAGTATATGGAACCATAGAGACGTAAACTTCAAGGATTAGATTTTTTGATATACAAATTAAACGAATTCTTTGAACTAGACTACTTCCCTTAATATATCAGCAATAACCTGAAGATCTTTTAAGGCCGATAACAGATCACTTGATAAATAGTTCGGATAAATAGTTTGTCTAGGAGATCGAGGCAGATGTTTATAGGGTGCAGCATCATAAATATCAACGATCAATTAAATTGAACACAACATCACCCATTGTTCTAGGTTGAGGAACTTCAGATGATTGACAATATATTGGTCACCATTTGATAAATACTACGATTAGGGAATTTTGCACTTCAAATCACTTAATTAATTCTATATTCTATATATGGAGAGCGATAATATTTGCTCAGTAAGGATAAGCTCTTAATCGAGACAATTGTATCAGAAACTTAAAGGATTATCAGGAGATTCGACCTAATGCGTTTGCGATTGAAGATAGAATTTTACCTTTCACAATCTTTCATATTTTCCCAACGAACTTTTTATAATTTTTACTAATATCTAAACTAAGCTAAACATGATTATCTAGCAAACGACAAGAATCTGTAGATTCGATTTTGGGTCTGGTAAGTTTCTGCTGAGAAATCTCTTAATACAAAATCTTATTAGGGATCGATCTAACACTATATTCTAATGTAATGTTCCATCGTAGCTAGATGATCTGATAGCATCTTAGATCAATATATCCTACGATATTTTAAAGGGATTGAAAAATTGATCTATGTATCTATATTAGAGCGTTAAAATTTTCGATTTTTCCTTTGTCAGTATTACAAAACTCTGTGACATTGTTTTATGGATGTGATATATTAGATCTGCTGCTCTTCTGTGGAATTTTCGAGGCAATTTCCAGAACGAAAACTAGAGAAATTGTGAGGTTCACTATTGGAGGTTCAGGTCTCGTATGAATCTTAAGGTTCTAGGCAGCGATTCAATATTTTATTTGGCGATAAAAATGTGCCTTCAAGAGTACTTGCCTCTTAGTATCCTCTTGGAGAGAATGCTGCTACTAGTAACTCTAGTCTGCCGGAACCATAAAGTGGAGATTTCTTTTTAATGATTTGACATGGAGTCGAACTACATAACCACAAAATCTGCTACCACTGGAAACGGTAGCCCACAGGGCAGATTTTCGGACTTTGTCTTGTCCTGGTTATTGAAGAGGTAACTTCGGGGTGCATGTGGTGACTGAGACTCAATCTGATGCAAGGTAAAGTTTATATTTCGGGAAAATTTCGGTGCTGTTGCCAAGAAAACAGATACTACAAAGAGGAGTGACTGGGACTAAGTGTTGGAAATGAGTTGGTGTCAAGTGTATATGATACGGGATGAATGTAGGAGTTTGCGGGCCTCACTCATTCGTATACCTAGAGTGAGTTTGTCGGTTGTTTTTCTCAATGAGTGTGTCGGTTGAATGAGAAGTTGTTGAATGAATTTTCCATTCTTGTCCGGGTATGTTCAGGGTTAACTCTGTTCATACCAGATTTACCACAGTGTGTTCTCTGTGAGTTAGATCAAGTCTTCGGCTTATCAAGGTGCCGAATCAACAGAGGCCAGTGATGTTTTTAAATCTCGGAACTTTAGCAATGGGGCAGCAATGATCAGAGAATAGTTAGTTCGAGTACTTGAGCATAGTACTTGTATATGGATCGGCCGAACCATATACAAAAATTGCCACCGGTGTGTAAGTAGAACAAGAGATGTATGATAAGTTCAACCTGTGGATGCATACCGCATACCTCATATAAACCCTTTTTTTGATTTGTCTGTTGAAATCTCAAATACTATAGACGAGAGAAATTGTGAAAATATATACAGAATCGGCCCAACCAAAAAAACAGCTTTAAGATTTCTTTTTTTTTAATTTTAACGGCATAATTCTGTGCAATCATTAACATTAGATTGCACGAGATATATAATGACATGTCCTTGTGAAATTACATGTATAGTATGTATGAATGTGCATGAACTCGATGTGAATAATATAAAAGAATAACAAAGTAAAGACAACAATAATAATGCCAGCAGAAAGCATACTAACTTACTTTATAACAAAGAAAATAAGGATATTGATCAAACGAAAATAAAGCAACGATAGCAGAGATATTTCAATATAAAATTTAATACATTCAAACATAAGAAATGTAGAATAAAGTAGAACAACAGAGACGTGGATATGATAAAGAAGCGAAAGCCCTCGGGAAAAACCAAAACATTTTTAATAAAGATTTAATTTGTATATAAAATAAATCTTTGTCTTACAATAACCGAGTAATGGTTTCTTTAGATAAAATGTAATTTAATTATTTTAAATGTCAAATATTGGTCAATATTAATTTGTTATTATTAAGGCTTTGTGTATTGGGATCTATTTTACATTTTTGTAATTTATATTCAAGGACAAAAGTTATTTATATTATAATTAAATCGTTTGGATTATGTAAAATATCTTAAACAGTCCATTAATATGTAATTACTTAACCGTATATATTTGGCGTCCATCTTGGATTTTTTTATAAAAATGAAACAATTACCTGTAATTAATATTAGTTAACAAATTATATAATTATTTAAAATGTTCCTTTCCTTTTCAGTTATTGGCCAACTAATAAATATCCCAAAATACTCATACACTTAATTACGAACGAGTGTGTTCAATCAAATAGACTTTTGTGATTTGTTACACGAAACAATTAAGAAAAAAATACTCTCATCTGGATTGGTGTTTCCTTGTATTTGTTGATGGCTGCTACTAAAATTATTGATGCGCCTCGCAATGGCCATGAAATGGCGCCGTTGAATACCCGAGCCCGCGGTGATGGTACACATGGTGTAACAATTGTTTTGACTGCGCCCCAAAGAAATTCCGTTAGTTCTGTAGAGATACCGGGCGAACCGGAACGTGCAGCATGGTCTGGTAAAATGCAATTTTTCCTCAGTATTATTGGTTACTCAGTAGGTTTGGGTAATATATGGCGTTTTCCCTACTTATGTCAACAGAATGGTGGAGGTAAGTACGAATAATGAATTAAGAATAAATTAATGTTACAGAAGTTTAATAAAAGTGACATTTGAAGTAATTTAGTAAAAAGTCCAACTGAAGAAGTGTTAGTGAAGTGTAAGGTGACAACTGAACAATTTGAAATAAATGAGTTTAAAATTCAGTTTTCTGTACGTAATTATTAAACATTTTCCAATCACTGATCGTGAATGATGTTTTATTCGGAATAATATTGCTCCTGAGATATTTGGATCTAATTTCGATGAAAGTCTGGCAAAGACAAAGAAAGTGCAGCAGAGTTTCACTGTCTCCTTCACATGCTCTACATACGTCTAGTTGTGACCGCAGTCATGTTAAACATTTAGAATACGTACTATCGTACTAACCTCAGACTTGCTAATTCTAGGGAAGATTCTAGTTCTGCTCTCGTTGGGACTACTTTACAGAACCTTTGTGGCTCTACACACCGTTTTATTATTCCAAGACGCCTTAAGAGATTCTCTAGCCTATATTTTTAATTCAGCCGTCATTCGTCTTAAAGCTAGAGTGTGACCTGGTACCCAAATAATGCAAAGCTTAACTTTGGGAGAGTTCAATACGCTTTTAGTTTTATCCTTCTCATTCGATGTCGGACTAATTCCAATCTATACATTTCGTTATTGCACTGTTCCGCACTTCAGAAGCCAGTGTTGCGATTAAATCATTGTAGGACTATGACTACATATTATGCCTATGATTCTCCTGTATAGCGCCCAGTACTGATGTGTCTTGTTGATCTTATCCTCTAATGAAGGAACTGGGTAAATACAAAAAATTAACAATATATTGGGTACCCGGCCATGAAGGTCATTCTGGCAAAGAACTGGCGGACTGCTTAGCAAATAGAGACGCTCATCGCCCACTTATCTGCCCTGTACGATTCTTTAGTATCCCGCAAGGTTACGTCAGACAAAGATGCGTATCGTGGGTCGAATCGGAATTTGCTAGCCACTGGGAAGCAACAACTTAGACAGACCAAGCGCTTAATCACGCTATCAAGAGGAAAATCCCAAAAGCTGTTATCGCTTAACAAAAGTGATCTCAGAATACTAACGGGACTACTCACGGGACACTGTGGTCTCAGATATCATCAATTCATCCTAGGAAACGCCATATCGAAGCTATGCAGATTTTGTTGCTGTCAGGAGGAAACCTCAGAACACATATTGTGCAAATGTCCAACACTAAGGACTCGTCGAGAAAGAATCTTAGGTGCTGCAACACTATCCCCGAAGGATATATCAACCTCTCACCAATCAAGCCTGTTATTTTCATATGTGAATTAAAGCTGTTCTGGTGAACCCACAAAACATCCAAAATAGGGTCGCAGTGCTTAGGGCTCTCTCTAATCTAATATAATCCTATCCTCTACGTCTCCATTTTAATTTCCGCAGTATCCCACAAGTATGATATTTTAGATGTTCAAAGCTTATGAATACTAGTTTCGATCTATCAAATCCTGAATATGCATGTCAGTAAGGGAGTATTGATTATGGTAGAAATGAGTCTTTCGGTGACATCCTAGAAGGAAATCTTGAGTTTGCACGATGTCGTGTTTCCTGACTAGTAGAACCTTCATTTCCTTATGTCGGTGACATCCTAGAAGGAAATCTTTTCTGACTAGTAGAACCTTTACTTCCTTATGTCGGTGGTGTGTCGAGGTTATTTGAAAGCATTACACTCTGCCTATTGCTTCGAGGACTTAATTCACAATTTGTGCGTGATTGCATTGACTGAGGATATAAATTGACTGTGGAAGATGTCGCCCAAGTATTTGTTGATTGTTGCTGCGAACATCTTTGGTGACATTTTAGTACATTGGATTGTTTTGATTGTAGTTTGTCGGCATAGTGGGACAGTTAACACAACATTTCCATTGTAAATGTGTCGAAAGTTACTAGAAATAGATGTTAACAATTCCCTGGATACTCCTTGTTTGACTCTACGGTTACCATCTAAACTATATGATTGAAAAATATCCTCAAATACTGCCAGGTGACAGAGAGATATAGGTCGGTATGATTGTTTCTCTTTCACGCCCTTCGCTATTTTTAGAATTTGAATAACTCTTCTCTTTGTCACGGATTCGTTTTTTATGACATATTGGATCTATTAAGACGAATTCCACTCCTTGCATGTGTTTAAATATCAGTGTGAATGTACCATCGGGATCAATTACCTTCTAAAGAAGTGGTGTGTCCGAGACTCGAAGGAAATGGTAGTGCCCACAAACTAAATTACGATCCTTCTTTGACAGGTTGTAAAGAGATCAAAGTAAGAAACATAATTTACTAACTCTCAAACTTTTCATATTTCAACTGAAGAAAAGAAGAGATTTTCAATAACGATTGCTCGATTTCGACTGGTTCGAGTGGTCTGTTTCTACGAGTAATTACTCGATTTACTGTTATTTGGTCTAAATGCTAGCAATAAAAAGATCTTCTTAAGCTATGAGGAGGAATAGTTTGTACAGGAATTTGGTATAAATGACTTCACAGAATAAGATAAGATTGTGAGTTTCAGACAAAAAAATAAGTATGTATAACCCATTTGGTTAAAAACGCATAATGTATTTTGGGGATCTCCCTATTGAAGCTCCCGATTAAATTTTTCAAAATTCTTAAAACTAAATTACAAATACCTTTGTATTGAATATAGAATAGAAATGTCGTTGTATTAAATTTTTGATACCTTATTGGTAAATATGATTCCGCATGGAATTTGTTTGTTATCAAACAATCAAAGTAAACCCTCTATAAGACTTGTAATAGAAAGATATTTCAAGTATTTTATGTTTTCATACGTCGACATGTTTTGTTTGTAACAACTTAAATTTGTATATTTATTTATACCTTGAACTTGATCTAACTTGGTCAATGGAATACGAATAGCGACAAATCTATGTATATATACAAAATGAAACGAATGATTTCATTTGACTCTGACTCTGAAATTAATGACATTAAATGAAATTCTATGTAAAATATTAGTGCAATTTTGCTTTATTTTATTCGTTTTTATTTACATTAATTAAGTGGCAAAAAAAACTTTTTTTTTCGTTTTTTTTTATTACACATTTTTATGTACAATGTGATTCAATTTCAGATACTTTTTTTGTTTGTATGTACATTGTACAATATTTGTACTATTATTTTTTGCAATCAATTGTTTATTTAGGTTTATTTTTCTATTGTTTGAATTGGAAACGCATCGAATGGCGACAACAGAAATATTGAATGAATGTGCAAAGCAATGCAAAATTGTTAAATGTATCAATTTTTTACTCTTTGCTATATAGGGAGGAGCTTCAACAAGTAAGAAACTATAGTTGGGAATTAACGACTGTATGTGAACCTACAAATGATATTAAATATTTATATATTCTCGCAAATAGATCGTAAAATAGAATCAACAAATACTTCGATTCAAAATTTTCTATCCGATTTCTGAGTTTTATATATTATTATAAAGACAATTCTACATTAATCATGATTTATTTTAAAATTCAGTGATACAACTTTTACAAAAACTATACAAAATCAATTAGTTGTTCAATGGATTTAATCAGAAAAGACTGATAATCATTCATCTCGAAACTGAATGTGTTGCCTTACAACGATATAGCGTTAAGCGTATGATATATACGAGCATTTATATCATTCATACAAATGTCTATAATTCAAATACCTGCCAATAAAATAAAATTAAACATCATAAAAAGTTATTTAGTTGCATTGCTTTTTTGTTCAGTTCAATTAAATTGACAACAACACTGCAATACTCGCCATTCAAATATTAGTATTCATTGGTTGGTGTATTTTGTTGAGGGTACAAAAGTTTTTTCCCCCAACCCCATAATAATTTATGGTTAATTTTGTACTTGATCTAGTTAAACTTTTTGTTTGATTTTGAATTGCATAATTTAAAAATAAAAAACTAATACAACCAATCAGTCAAACATTCAGTCGGGTTAGTGAAAGTTTTCTTTCAAGTAGTTCGATTGATTTTAATCGGAATGTATAATTTTTCTATAAAGCTCAGTTACTAAATGCAACATTATCTGGTTGGAAATGTTTATAATTAGAGCAAGTTAAATAGAATGGACGTACAAAGTTAAGGGAATGTTAAAAATAGTAAAAGTAGAAAAAGGCTAAGAAAAATTATTATTTAAATGTTGTCTGAAGTACTTATAGGTAGGCAGTATACCAGACAAAGTCCTCTAATATAAGCAGCATGTTTTTGTAAAGAAACGATCAGTAGAAACCCCGTTAAACGAAGTTGTCCACTACATAGTTAAATCCTTCGATAGTAAACTGTATACAATACTTAGACCAGTTTTATGTTGTCCATATGCTCAGTAACTGAATCAACTACATATGTATAAATTGCGAAATGTACGATATAACTATCAGGAAAAGGCTATTTTGTGGTACATCATAAAGTTGCATTTCGTCCCAATTACTCTGGGTTACTATGATTAATAGCGTTCTAAGGACCCTAATCTAGAAAGGACTTAGACCTGTCTCTTATGCAGACGATGTTGTAATACTTCTAGGGATAAAGGATCCCAATTACTTGTGTAGAAGAGCTGAGGAGGCTCTGAATACAGCCTTGACCTGGACTCAAATGAATGGCTCAATGTTAACCCCGCGAAGATGGAAATCTGTCTATTCACAAGCAATAAAAAGGTCAAACATTTCTAAGTATACTGAGTATACTGTTTCTTGAAGAAGAAACCAGTGACAGACAGAGTTAAGTACTTAGGTGTAATCCTTAACCAGAAATTAAAATGGAGGCACCACGTAGAGGACAGGATCAACAAAGCACATTGGTGCTGGGCTATATGTAGGAGAACCATAGTCATGAAATGACCCATTGGCATTATAAAGGTGTAAGAATCCGTTGCTACACATATGGCTCTAAATTAATGGAAAAAGTGTGCAAGGGTTTTTATATTGAAGACCCAGCAATATATCACAATACAAGCTTAAAGGCAGAAGATGTGGCGCCCACAGAGCTTTACATATTTACCGAAAGCCAGAAGGCAATTAGGGCGATATCAGATGTTAAAGTTATATATAAAACCGCATTGGATTGTAAAAAAACTCTTACCAAATACTCTCCCAGAGGTATGGTTTATATCATGTGTATGCCAGTCCACTCGGAGTAGTACTCAACGAAAGAGCGAATATGTTAGCTTTGAAGGGAAGGGAGCTCGAGATAATTAACCATTTAACGCAACTTGGAAGAATGAAACGGTGGGTAGAACCACAAAGATTATATAGGTTGACCCTAACGAGAGCATTACGAGAAGCCTTCTGAAAATGATCAAGTCTGAGGTTAATATGATTGTACGATTATATGATTCTAAGTAAACGTCTAGGATTATGGTCGCATCTAAGTATACAAAATTGAACGTGCGGATTCAGATGATGATATATTAAGATGACGATATGTTGAATTTACTCTTATATAGTATCGGAAATAGCTACTTTACAGTGTGCGACCAAATATGGATCAATCCTCATATAACTCCTTAATAATTAACATATTTCAGAGGGGAAATTATTACGGGGATATGTTAGGTTAGCAGGTCGTCCTCGCATGCCTCGTATGCCGACGAAAGGGTCGGTGTAATCTCTTGCAAGTAAGGAACTCACCTTGGCAAGAGAGCCCGCTATGGTATTACCAGGAATTTGTTGATGTCCTGGAATACAATACAGTCCTATTGTGGAACGTTGAGCTATGTAGAAGCCACCGCCTACACCATGGTTTGATTTTGAGCCATCGGTGAAGACTTTATACGATCCTTCTTGGAGGATTGTTTCCATCACAATTGGATCGTATTGGATAGTCACTTAAAAGCTTCTATCAAAAGATGGTTCGGCGATGCAATAGTCAATGTCGTCAGGGATTACTTCCAGACAATTGAGAATGGAGGAGTGACCTGACTGAATCATATGGCACATTGTGTTGAGTCAACCTCTTGGGCCATTGGATCAATAGGTAGCCATTCCATCATGACAAAAAGAGCTTTTGATGGGGCGGGGATATGTTAAATTGTGGACGAATTTAAACCGAAATTAACGTTTTTAAATTGCTTCCAATAGTTTATCGACTCAAGAAGTGGCTCTTTATTAAAAAATCTAAATTCAGAATATTGAATTTTAAAGCTTACGGAACGAATAAGTTTACCAATGAGTAATAAGTATTACTCTACCGATCTTGTCAAGAAAATAGCTCTCACAGACAACAAGCTAAGTTTTAATTTCAATCCGATTTCTATAAAAAATTTACACAACAGATATGAAAACCATTCAAAAAACAATGATTTTCTCCAATAAGTTTTTGGTAAAAAAGTTCAAAACTATATTGATTCTTTAAAAAATTTCGATTGCATGAAAAGATAAAATTAAATTTAGTTTTATCAATAAACTTAATGAATTGTTAATTAAATTTTATTTTTATTTTCTTCGTATCTCCAAGCAACACGCACTTAAACTGCAATCGTAATTTCTAATCCAATTTTATTAGATTGCAACCAGGGGGCATAATATGTATAAGTATTGTTATAAAAAAAAACAACAATAACAAATACGAATTGATTTTGTGTCACTAGATAATAATGAATGTACGACAGACGGACAAACTATCAATTTCGAAATTCTTGAACAAATTACTTAAAAAACACAGTTTAATTTGTATTCAATTTCTAACATTTCTTTTGTCTTCTTTGTTTTGCTTTACAGGTGCATTTCTAATACCCTTCATGGTAATGTTGGTGCTGGAAGGTATACCACTGTTTCTCATTGAACTGGGCATGGGACAGCGCATGCGTCTGGGTGCGCTGGGTGTCTGGAATACCATACACCCTTGGCTAGGTGGTATTGGTATCTCGTCATGTATAGTGACGTTGTTTGTGGCCCTCTACTATAATGTGATTATAACGTGGGTGTTCTTCTATTTGTTTAATAGTTTCCGGGTAAGTAGACGTTGATGACTGCTTGACTGCAGTTGTTGAATTATTTGGAAAATAATATGATTTTGTAAACAATTTTAGTATCCTTTGCCTTGGGCTTCATGTCCTAACAATGGCACAGAAGGTTTCATAGTTGAGGAGTGTGCGCGTTCTTCGGAAACCACTTACTTTTGGTATCGCACAACCTTGGATGCTGCTCCCTCTATGGATGAGCCTGGCGGTCTTAAATGGTGGATTGTGCTGTGTTTGTTGCTCTCCTGGACAATTGTGTTCTTCATTGTGATGAAGGGTATTCAGAGTTCGGGTAAAGTGGTGTATTTTACTTCACTCTTTCCCTACATTGTCCTGACAATCTTCTTTATTCGTGGCATAACTTTACGTGGCGCCAGTGCGGGTCTTATGCACATGTACACGCCGAAAGTTGAGAAACTAGCGGATCCCACTGTTTGGCTAGATGCCGCTACTCAAGTATTTTATTCATTTGGTTTAGCCTTTGGCTCCTTGATTGCCTTTGGCAGCTATAATACGCCCAAGAATAATTGCGTCCGCGATGTTTTATTAGTGTCCGTTTGTAATGCCATCACCGCCATTTACGCCAGTGTCGTTATTTTTGCCATTTTGGGCTTTAAGGCTACCGTCAATATGGATCGTTGTATTGAAGTGTAAGTACAATGAAAAAAACAAATACACAATCTATTTAGTTGGCGCATCAACAATATTCAAGATCATTATTAAATTTTATTTAAAATATAATTGTAACAACTATTTTAACTGGTCGACTGATTGCATGAGTATTTTTAGCGAGAATCATTTATGACTAGACAGACCGACAAACAGACAGACCTACAGACAAATATAGCAGACAGACGAACGTTTAGGTGGTGCTATACCGACTAATGGTTTCAATCAATGGGGCGCTAGTTGACTTAAGTGTCCGCAATTGATTTGTATGATCGTTTAGACAATCGAAACAATTACAATAGTTGCAAACATGTGCTGGGCAATTGCATGTGACAGCTGAATAAGAGCTTAAAAACCAATTTGTGATTACAAAATGAGACATGAGTGATGTCTGATTAATTGCTGTTAATTGAATATTGATTACTGCTTTTAACAAGTGGGAATTTTATAGAATTTTTATAGTAAATTTTTCACTTATATCAGCAAAAAGATTTGCGATCAATTAGAAATATTTCCAGGTTCTATGCTGCTATGAGTATGAACATATAGTTTTCAAACCTTTACTTTTTTATAGGTCAAAGTTCAATATTTTAATATTTTACTTCTAAAATTTTGCTTCATATGCCCTTTTTCACAATTAAACGTTCAGTTAAGTATTTATTACTATTAATTGGTCTTGATGTGTACGTTTTTGAGACGCAATTATTTCGTTTTCTATTCAACATTTACAACAAAAAAATCTTTTTTAATTAATTATTTTATTTATAAATATGTCATGATTGAAATTATTTATTGACATAATTGAAGGTGGTTTTGCAGTAAATTGCATTAAAATAGTTTCCTGATCAAAAGTTTTCAAGAAAATAGTTTTGCTATTGATAGAATCTAATGAATTTGTTTATACCAAAGTGGGGAAAAAAGAATTTCGAAAAGGTTTTATTGTGCAAACCTTAATTTACTTCCAACTAATGGATGTATCACACAATAATACGGATTTTTTTTTAAATTACAGCTTTTTGAAACATTCGAAAAATTTCCGGCCAAAAGAATCACTTATTTTTTAAGGCCAATAGCGATTCAAGCCGTATAGCCCATTCTTAAGTATTCCAAAAAAAGCCTTCTGCATCTATCGAAACAAATAGTAGTCGATCGGGGCAAGGCCTGACCTATAAGGTGGGTGAGGCGAAACTTCCCAACCACTTCTTCATAAATAGTTTTTAAAGGAACTCGAGCCCAGAGATACAAGCCGAGAAGGCTCAAATCAGCGGCGGCTGGCCGCTGGAAATATTTTGCAAGACGCGCCGCCGCCGACTTCTTTCGGCACAAAGGCTAAGTCGGCTTAAACGTAGCCGCTGATAAAGATTGGAATCGCACATGTATTTCAGAAAATAATTTCACCAATTTGAACGGTGTTGCCACAAATTTAAATTCTTATGACAAATTGAAAAGAGTTGCCACACAATATTTTGCTAATATTAAAAGAGTGAAAACTACTATAAATGTCCATTTTCTGCAGAAAAAACTTATATAGAGACAGAGATTTTTCAATATTATAAATGCTTATAATGTCAATTAGAGACGACAATTTAGCCGCCGCCGATATTTTCTATAATAAGCAGCCGCCGCCAACCTAAAATGGTTGCGCCGCCGATAATTTTGCATCGGCTTGTATCTCTGCTCGAGCCTTGTCATGATGGAATATTACGTTTATATGCCCGGCCATATATTTTGGAAAATAATCGCTTTAAACGAATCATTGGCATTCGATACAGGTTCACACTGATGATCAGGCCAGATTTTAGCAGCTTATAATAGGTATGACCCTCTTGATTCAACTAAGTACATACAAATCATTGCCTTAGTATCATGGATATTTGCCTTTGGTGTCGATTCAGCTGTCTTGGCTTCAGATTATACTAAAGGGTCCATATTTCAACTCCAATAATGATTTTTTTATGTAGTTGAAACAACAGTTCGGACATGGAAAATCGTCTTTCAAGGTCTCTCGACTTCAATTCGTATGGTACCCATAATTTCCTACTTTTTGATAAATAGTGGTGATTTTAAACAGTGTAGTCATGGAGTATTTGAGTTTAAGTTTTGAAAATGGAGCCCACAAATACTTCAGGTTGGCGCTATGTGCGCTCAAAGTAGAATATTTTCGACATATTAATTTGAACGCCTATAACTTGGGAATTATAAGAGATATTTTACACACGCAAGTATGTTTTTTCATAGGATCAGACCAGACTTAGAAACAATTTTACAATTACAATCAGACAAGCAGGAATTGTTTAAGTTAAATTTTAAAAGAAGATGCATCTACATCAAATCTGAACACCTAGGCTACTATCGGTTTGTTGGTAAAAACAATAACCTTATATAGTATTCACTGAATGTATTACCGTCCGATGTTCAGATACTCGGTTTCCTGGACGTAATTCTTAAGAATCTTCTAATCAGTTTTCGTGAGGGATGTTATATCAGGAATAATATCACTCCCAAAATTTTTGGATGTAATTTCGTCGAAAGCCTGACAATGGCCAAAAAAGTGCTCCAGCGTTTCTCTATCCTCTCTATATTCTCTACATTCGCCTAAATCCTGTCGAAATTCTGTGTGTCTATTTAGAATACGTACCATAATTCTAACTAAACTCAGACTTGCTCACTTTGAGGAGGCTTCTCGCCATGCCCTCGTTATGGTTAAGCCATAGGATCTTTACATTTGCTCTTTCATTGCTGACTGCTCTCGAATGGCCATATGATGCAAGTCTTATGGCCACTTTCTTATAATCCTCTACGGTCTTAGATTTAACTTTACCACTTGATAATGCCTTCTGGCTGTCGGTAAATATGTTACCCTATTGGCGCCATATTTATTTTAATCTAATTTCTGCATTCTGTTATTTCTCGGACTTCTTCATAGAAGCTAGTATTGTGGTTAGGTAAACGGTGGTAATTCCTAAGAATTTTCCAATCAATGTTCGTGAGGGATGTTATATCCGGAATAATATCACTCCTAAAATATGTTGATGTAATTTTGGCGTAAGCCTGACAATAGTAAAAAAGTGCTCCAGAATTTCACTATCTTCCCTACATTCGTCTGAATCTGCTATTAATCCTGTGTGTCTACTCAGAATACGTACCATCATACTAACCTCAGACATGCTAATTTTGAGGAGGCTTCTCTTCCTGCTCTCCTTAGGGTCACCCCATAGAATGGCATAGTACCCATATGATGTAAACCTTACCTCTGATAGAGTTTTCGGTTAGAGCTTTTTACGGTCTTAGATTTAACTTTATCATCTGATATCGCCCTGATTTCTGTCGGTAAATAAGTTAAGCCCTGTTTGCACGATATTTATTTCAATCCAACTTCCGCATTCGGTAATTGCTCGGACTTCTGCCTAGAAGCTAGTATTGTGATTAAGTAAACGGTGGTTCATTTCAAGCAGTAATAACTTTTACAAAAGATAGTGTGTATATTCTGACCTTCGTGCGAAGGGTATATACGTATAAGTTTTTCATTCCGTTTGTAATTTCCACAATACAATTTCCGACCATATAAAGTAAGTACACATATATATTCTATATCCTTATAGATAACGGTGTCGATTAAGCCATGTCCGTCTGTTTGTATGTGTTTCCGTCTGTCTGTTAAAATCAATTTTCTGAAGACCCACTATATCTTCGGGATCCATATCTTCAGGCATGTAATGGTGAAGGCAATATAAGATTCGCCAAAGATGAATATAGATTTCTTACTTGTTAGAATTACTTTTTTTATCCGATAGCTCAAATTTTATATAATTTTAAAGAACATTTAAGTGCAATTTTGAATAGACGTTTGGTATACCTTTTACTTGACTTTAGACTTAGTATTTGGACTTATACTTATACGATTTATTCTATAGACTAGAATCTCTAATCTTTAGACTAGAGTATTGTCGAGTTTATAAACTATTCTACTGTCCAGATCATAGGGTGCCATTTCATCCCTGGATTAGAAAAATCCAAGTCGTTATAATTTTTTCATATTACGCTTAATAAAACACATTACGATTTTCATTTGCTGCCTCGTTGTAAAAAAAATCAACGTCTTTTAATAGTTTTTTGAATTTTTCAGAAATAAAGACATTTTATTTAAGCATGATATGTTGCCTTCCAATAATGTCACCGAGGAAATCTATGAAGCAGCCATGGCCAAAGTGACCATGAATCAAACAAAAGAATGGGAACTTGGAGAATGCAGTTTATCGCATGAATTAGATAATGTAAGTATAAGTCTCTAAATTTATACGAATAATTAAAAAAAAAAACAAATATTCTCTTTTAATCTAATTTAAAGGCTGCCGAGGGTACTGGTTTGGCCTTTATAGTTTTCACACAAGCTATTGTCGAGTTACCGGGTGCACCATTCTGGGCTGTTCTCTTCTTTACGATGTTATTGTCTCTGGGCTTGGGTTCACAGATTGGCATACTTGAGGGCATGCTGTGCACACTGTTTGACATTGACATCATTAAGCGGGTTAAGAAACAACATGTTACTGGAGTGGTGTGTTTTTTCTGCTTCATTGTCGGTTTCATCTTCTGTACAGGTGCTGGCGAGTATTGGCTGAAGATGTTTGACTCCTTTGCCGGTACAATTGGTCTGGTAGTTATAGCGCTTATGGAAATGATTGCCGTCGTTTATATCTATGGCCATGAAAGGTGGGGTTTCTATATTAAAAATCACTTGGTTTATTAACCTAAATTTCAATGTGTATCCTTTTGCAGATTTACTGAGGACATTTATCAAATGACTGGCTACCGACCTGGCATCTACTGGCAATTGACTTGGCGCTATTTTGGACCTCTTATCATGGTGGCCATTCTTGTCTCCTCTGTGGTGTTTATGATTATTAAGAATCCCACTTATGGTGCCTGGAATGAGGAATTGGTAATTATATTATATTTTTAATCAATAGAATTTTATTTCATTTAATTTTCTTAATAGGGCGCTGTTGAATCTAAGAGCTATCCACCATGGGTTATGGGCATTGCTTTGTCTATGATTTTAGCTGGCGTTTTACCCATGCCAATAGTGTTCCTAATGCGTAGCTTCCAATGCCTTAAGGTTGATTTGGATATTCATCAAGGTTCGATTCGAAGAAATGAAACAACCGCCTCCACTAAGGAAATGATTGATAACGATGATGATGTAAGTAACGGTAGTGATTCTAAGGGGTTAACACTATATTTTCAAGCACTTTCTAAATTGCTTAGAAATTGTTACGTCTATAATTTATTTATAAAAAAGTTAAGTATGTGATTTAAACTATTTAATATACGTATGTATATATGAACCCATTTTCTGGCCATGATTTTGGGTTCTAGACCGATCAAAAGATCCAATTTCAAATTGATCTTGTGTATCTATGTAACTATTTATTATATTATATGTATGTAATTTTTTTATATATGTTGTGCTAACATTTTAAGTATATAATCCTTATTACTATATATAGTCTATATAATACTATTATATATTTGCCACACAATTCCATTTTAAATTCACTTTAATGTTTCGTCTCATTTTCGTTTTGTTTTCTTAATAAATGCTTACCTTGCCTCGTATTTTAACTAAAATATCATTTAACAAAAATCGATATAATAACATTCAGATTGTGAGTCCGGATATGCCACCACAAGATTCATTAGCGGCGACACGTTTTACAATTGGAGACTTTGAAGTAAGTTGTAGATAGAATGCTTTCATTTTCTTTTGCTCAATTTTAAGAAAACGTTTTATTTTTACAATACGATTATTTATCTATATAACCACTTATAAATATCATGATTTATAAGTAATATAATAACTAGCAAATATTTTATCAATTAACTTCTGAAGTTCCTTTATATTAGAACTATTTTTAGTTCTTCTATCTCAAAACAACAAATCCGTCTCCGTTTTAGAACCCAGAAATTTTGTAAAATAGTATTAAGTGTTGTCGGGTTCTAAATAAGATGTGAATGAGAATAGCAGTGTATGTGATCGATGAATAGTTACTCTCCCAAAATTAACAAGATGTGTTTACTTTGCACTATATGAGATCATTTTGATTTACCAAGCAGAAGTAGAAGTTGAGTAATATCAAATCAGTTAAATTTAGTAGATTTTTTAAAAGATTCTTTGTGGACACGGACACCCATATCTTCGAGATCTGTTGAAGTCTAAGAAATGAAAATTACTAGGGGATATAACTGCTTATGTTCTCGATAGGATATGGATGAAGAAAAAGTTACGAATTCATACTGCAGAGATAAACGCTTGTATTTATAAAAAAATCTTATTTTGCTTTTAATGCACTCAATAGTTAAAGCACACTTTAGCCTTAAAAACCATTAATAAAATTGTGATATTCATAAACAAATAATAAACGTATATTAACTATTGTGCTGATTTATGTTTAAGTTGGCAGCACTGTACAATATGGCTGTCATTTTATGTGTTAGTGTTGCGTACAATTAGGATAAAATATTCGTAGATTCGGTTTTCTTAATTTCATATTTTTGTTTATAATAGATTTTTGACAATAAAAACAAACTTTTAAGAAAAATAAATATATATATGGCTTTAATAAATGTCTATTTAGTTCAGATGTATAAATATAACATATAATTTCTAATTATTATTAAAAGTATCCGAATAACGGATATTTTGCGACAAAATATACATCACTATGACACATTTTCTTATTTTTACTTATTTTCCTTGTAATTTTTGATAAATTTTTGCAAATATTGATAAATTTCTTTGATATTTGACTAATTTTAATGCCGGCAAATATATTTTGCATTAGTATAACACTAATCAATATAATTTACATGGTTAATTACTTTATGGCATTATATTTAACCAACAAACTTTGAAAAAGCCAAATCAAATGATTTTGTCCATCATTTGGTTGACAGACGGGCATTTCCAAATTGCCTAAAAATAGTGCTGGACAATTGGAATATTGTCAAATATTCATGCATTAATCCAATAATGCCTAGATTTGAGTTTTTTCCTCAAAATATAATCGTTTAAAAATTTTCTGGGATTTTATTTACAAATTTGTAAACGTTAAAATTAGAATTTTTAGATTTTATTTTAAAAGAAACCATAATTAGTTTTCGCAATCAACCTAAAATTACCGGAAAAATCTTTATCTGAGAAAAAAATTTTTTAAAATCAACTTATTGTTGGCTTAAAGAAGGGTCGAGCCTACAATAAAATTCTTCTAATTGTCAATGGTTTATTGAAGGTGTTTTAAGCTATTTCACGTTTATAAATACGATTTTCCTGAATTTTGCCTAAAATTGTTTAATAAACCTAAAATAAGTTTTTATAAATACAGCCGAAATACTTTAGCAATCATTTGCTAACTAAGACTTTTGGTCTAAGATTATCTGGGGAATATACATAAATGCTCCCGGTCGTCTAACTACTGGTTTCCTGCAACATTTAGTGTGTTGTCTGAGAGTTTTTGGGCCAATGCTAACTTCAAACGGATCAATTGATTTGGTCCAATTTCTGCAGCCTCCAAATACAGTACTTTATAGTGGTGCCTTAGATATTTGGGATTCTCTTGATTGTACTTCGGGTTATCATAATGGATCTATTTCTCATTTCCAGTAAACAGGTTACGCAGCAACCAGCATTACTTTGTTCCTGTAAAAAACATAGATATAGGAGAGAGAATAATAGATGAACATGTCATTGAATGGAGACGTAGTATGAAGTCTATATCCAACATAGTGAAAATTCGAAGTTCACAGCCATTTTGACATATTTAAGAATGCGATGAACAGTTCTAATTGATTAGAAAGATTGTTGAATTAAATTGACCCTAGAGTTTAGTTTGGAGCCGAGCCCTACTGTCTTTTCTTCCTTCTCATTCAGAAATATTTTGCAGCTTGAACTGAGAAGATAGACAGTTTTACGTTCACATGACCATTGGATCTCCGCTCCGGAACGACCCGATTCTCAATCGGCTAAAGATTGTCAACTCAGCAACAGCTGTATCAACCGGAAGTTTTTTCTTCAGGGAAGAATCAGTCTCAGCCAATCTGTTATAACAACAACAACAGTTTTACGTGGATCGATATGAGGCCAGAACGTTCTAGTGATCGAGTTTACTCACGCGACCAACAGCCTTGAGAATTGGAATAAGAGATGTTTAGAATATGTATTTTTATGTGAGGTAGTGGAACTCCACAGAACTGATCTAATTCTAGTTCAATTAGCATGAATACAGCTCTTGCCACAGTGCCGGTTATTGATATGTGTAATCCAGTGTCCCTTGTTCCATATAATGGTTATCTCATTGAGAGATATTCGGTATTCATAGACAATTCTAGAAGCAAAGGAAACACCAATCGGGGATTTAATGATTATCAGTATAAATTCTGTTACTCCTGTTCGATATTTGATAGTTCATTAGTAGATTGACGCCCTCTCTCGATCGCTGATATATTTCAGCTTGAGAATAATTCACTCATCATTAATTCTAAAGGAGATTTAAGTCCTAAATTTCCGTGTCCCTTGTCCCATATAAGGATAATGCTCGAATGTTTCGCCATACCATTGCGAGACGTCCTGCACGCATGTACAAGTCTATATGTTGAGAATACACCAATTAAAGATTAAATATCAGCTAAATGATCAGTATAAATTCTTATAATCCTGTTCGATATTCGATAGTATCTCAGCAAATTTGACGCCCTCTCTCGATTACTTACATATTTCTGCTTGAGAATACTACACTCATCATTAAGGAGATTTTAGTCTTAAATTTCCGTGTCCCTTGATCCATATAAGGATAAAGTTCGATTGTTTCACTATACCATTGAAAGACCTCCGGCATTCAGGGCCAAATCTAGATGTTGAGAACAAACCAATTAGGAATTTAATATCAGCTTGATTATCAATATAAATTCTAATATTCCTGTTCGATAGTACCTTAGCAAGTTTGACTCCCTCTCTCGAACGCTGATATATTTCAGCTTGAAGGATATTACATTCATTATTGAATCTAAAAGAGATTTTAGTCCCAAATTCTTCAATGAAGACGACACCATCTGTATACACAAGGAAGCAGTTATTTAACGGAAGGTGGGATTTTGGAGACTCCGGTAGCCAATAGCAATTTGGGGTCGCGGTAGAAGATCAATGATTTTCGCTTGACACAGAAGGTGGGCTTCTTGAGACTCCTGTTCGGCAATTTTGAGGCTCGGTAGAAGATCAGTGATTTTCGCTAGACCCCTGAAATAAGTGCCATTTAACTCAATCTGACAGCAATGCACATTGCCTTTTTTTTTGGATAGAAGATCTACTTGAGTCCAGTTGAGCATAGCAAGCAAAGCCTTTGTGGGAGTTCTTTTTTAGAGCACCGGTAATGGGAAAAGCAGATGATTTAATAAACATTTCAAAATGTTGTTGTTTTTCGAGCACGTAACACCAGACTACAAACCCATACAGCATTATTGGCTTGATTATAGCCACAAATAGCCCTAACGCTTCGATTTGACTCCATTTTAGCTTTTCTTGTGGGATGCCGTTACAGACCGAAACTATGCGTGTAAATCAGAAGCAGTTCATAAGCTTACGGCTGTATTTATAAAAACTTATTTTAGGTTTATTAAACAATTTTAGGCAAAATTCAGGAAAATCGTATTTATAAACGTGAAATAGCTTAAAACACCTTCAATAAACCATTGACAATTAGAAGAATTTTATTGTAGGCTGGACCCTTCTTTAAGCCAACAATAAGTTGATTTTAAAAAATTTTTTTCTCAGATAAAGATTTTTCCGGTAATTTTAGGTTGATTGCGAAAACTAATTATGGTTTCTTTTAAAATAAAATCTAAAAATTCTAATTTTAACGTTTACAAATTTGTAAATAAAATCCCAGAAAATTTTTAAACGATTATATTTTGAGGAAAAAACTCAAATCTAGGCATTATTGGATTAATGCATGAATATTTGACAATATTCCAATTGTCCAGCACTATTTTTAGGCAATTTGGAAATGCCCGTCTGTCAACCAAATGATGGACAAAATCATTTGATTTGGCTTTTTCAAACTTTGTTGGTTAAATATAATGCTATAAAGTAATTAACCATGTAAATTATATTGATTAGTGTTATACTAATGCAAAATATATTTGCCGGCATTAAAATTAGTCAAATATCAAAGAAATTTATCAATATTTGCAAAAATTTATCAAAAATTACAAGGAAAATAAGTAAAAATAAGAAAATGTGTCATAGTGATGTATATTTTGTCGCAAAATATCCGTTATTCGGATACTTTTAATAATAATTAGAAATTATATGTTATATTTATACATCTGAACTAAATAGACATTTATTAAAGCCATATATATATTTATTTTTCTTAAAAGTTTGTTTTTATTGTCAAAAATCTATTATAAACAAAAATATGAAATTAAGAAAACCGAATCTACGAATATTTTATCCTAATTGTACGCAACACTAACACATAAAATGACAGCCATATTGTACAGTGCTGCCAACTTAAACATAAATCAGCACAATAGTTAATATACGTTTATTATTTGTTTATGAATATCACAATTTTATTAATGGTTTTTAAGGCTAAAGTGTGCTTTAACTATTGAGTGCATTAAAAGCAAAATAAGATTTTTTTATAAATACAAGCGTTAAAGTTTAAATCGTCCGAGTCATTAGTGCGATAGAACTAGAAACCACCAATAAAGTCTTTCAAATTAGACTGACAGGATAAGTTGTGTAACTGGCGTGAAGCCAGCTGGGTCTGTGACATACATATATGTATACCAGCAACTGAAACACCATGCAAAGACCCTTCTCATGAAGCTTAACCAGAGCAGCTATTTCGTTTCTTAAATGTGACAAAATCTTTTAGATTAAATAACTTTATGGTATTTGAGGGCTAATAAGTATGTTGTCTACCTTATCCACAGTATTAAAAAGTTCCCCTGGATTATACGTTTATATGTTTAAGGTTTTAATAGAGCTAAGTTGTCTATAATTCAGAAAGCAATAACTGTTTGTAGATTTTGATGATAGCAACCTTTTACTACTACGGATTTATTAGTGGTTATATTGAAAATCGTATTGTAATAATTAAAAAAGTATTTACTAATTAACCGTAAATTTATGGTATTTCTTTGTACTTTTTCTTTTTTTTTTATTCCACTTCCCAACTAAATTCTTTTTGTACAGAACTAAAGTAAAGAAAAATATAATTATAATATATAAAAAAAATAAATTTAAATAAACGACGAAAAAAACACTATACAAACGCTTAAAAAAATAAAAACGTCTACACCACATCAAAACAAACCAACAGCATAAATGGATGATATTAATTTTGCTAAAATAAAATACAACAAAGAAAGAAAGGATCTTAAATGTTTACATAATTAAAAGCAAATTTAACAATAACGGTTACCTCCTAATTGAACAACACATAAATCATATATACGTTACAAAATTTTTGAATTTAAAAAAAAGTAATCTCATCTTTAACACCCGCAAACACACACACAAACAAACAAACGCTCGCTCATTTGATTTTAATATATACACTGAGAAAAATTAATTCTTAGAGAAATAAAAAGTGCTTTTTAAATTAACATCAACTAAATTTATATGAATAGAAATTGATTAAAAAATTTAAATAAAAAAATATAAAATTTATATTAAAGCAATTAAACAAATTGAAAACTTCAAATTAAATACATATGTAATTATATGTATTAATTAGATGAAGAGTATGAGAGAAGAGCGCCTTCTTAATGATTTATTAAAATATTTAATAACAACAATTAACAACTTTAATCAAGAGATAAATATTATATAATTATAAACTTATATTATGTAAAAAACCAACAACTACTTACAAACGAAAACTAAAAACTATTTTACAACTAGAAAATATTTTAGCAAACAGCAATTATTTACAACATTTAACAACAACAACAAATTAATTAATTAATTATTTACTACGAATTGAGGACTACGATTAAAAAGAAAACGATTTTTACTAAAAGTAAATATTTCAAAAACAGAACAGAAATTAACTGAAAATGCATTAAACAAATATGAACGAGTATGTAGTTTTAAAGTTAAATTAAAACGAAATTAATTATTATTATTATGATTGATATTATAAAAAAAGTAATAAATATTTAGACTAGAAACTATATAAAAACAAAATAATATTCTTAAAAAAACCCCCCTGCTGAAAGCTCAAGATTTTAACAAATTTATTTGTATAACAAAATTTTGCAAATATTTTATTTAGTCTATTAAAAAAACAAAAACAATAAACATTTTACTAACTCTAGTATTAAACATTAATTAATGAATGATTGAATAATAACAATAGCAACAATACTAACAACAGCTCATTCATATTAGTTATCTTGTTTAATTTGTAATTTATTTTCTTTAAATAAAATTTTTTTATTACTAATACGTACTGTTGTACATTTATAAGTCAACATTAATTAATGTTATTAACATTGTAATTTATATTAAAATATTTTATTATTGTTTAAGTGTTTGTTTGTACAAATCCAACAATTGTAAAGAAATCACCTTAACAGCAAAATTTATACATTCCAAACATATTAATTACTTCATAGATAGAGTATTACATAGATACAAACATACTGACATACATATGCAACAGCTTCATGCCTACATAAATACATATGTATGTATTAAGATTGGGTTCAATTGGTTTAACAATATGCGTTATGATCTAAAAAGGTAATTAACTTAATAAATATATATATAATTTATAAACTAATACTTATTGTTTTAAATGTTTATGATTTTATTATATCAAATATACTAATATATTATTTATATTATCATATTTATATATATGATGTCTATTTTAATTTTTGTTAAATTTTAATTTATTAAAGTTCTTCATGTAAAATTTGAAGAATCTAGTTCTATAAGTTTCACAGATATACGAAATTTTGTATTTAATTCATATGGGAGATGCTGCTCCCCTCATTGGTAGTCCGCCATTTTATTACCCAAAATGTTAACATGTATGTTAAAGTTCTTCGTGCAAAATTTTAAGATTCTAACTGTAATAGTATCCAAGATAAACGATTTTTTTCATTTAACTTATATGGGAGATACCACGCCCCCAGCGGCTAGTCCGCTTACTTTTTGTTCTAAATAATCATATTACCACTAAAATGTCTCCGAGAAAATTTTAAGACTCTAACTGTTATATTATCTCAGATAAACTGATTTAATATTTTCTTAATATGGGCATGGCTCCACGCCCATTTGAAATTTCAAAAAAAAGTGCCTTATACAGAAATACACTGTGAAAATTTCGGTTCAACCGTTTGGTAGTCTATAAACTTGAAAAAAAACAAACGCACGACAAATCATGTTACTTCATCTATGTTTATGGGTGGTGTAAATATTAAGGAATCAGAAGCTCTTGATATTCTGGGCATGAGAATACAGTGTGATGTTCGCTGGACCAAACACATATTTCAAGTGTCGAAAGAAGCATTCAAGTGTCTCGGTTTTCTCAAAAGGTATAAGACATACTTCACTCTCTCTGACCTCCTTACTATCTATACCACCTACATCCGACCTAAAATGGAATACAACTCTCATGTACAAAATGAATCATCTCAAGCTCATCTTGTGTGCCTTGAAAACAATATGGTTCTGCCGGTCTATGTACAAGTACTTTGCTTGAGTATTTTAGTTATCTAATCTCTGATCCTTACTGCCCCATTGCATTACTGTCGATATCTTTTCCGCATACAACCAGGTAGAGTTCTTACTCACAGAGAACACACTGTTGTAGGTCTGGTATAAACAGACTAAACCCTAAACATAACCTGTCATGGTAGGGAATTTCCATGAACTCAATCCCAACTCGTAACCACACAGTCATTCCTTTGAAGGATATCTATTTCCTTTTTCGTCTTTTTTCGGCAACAACAGCGAACTTATCCTGAAATATATTTCACAGTGCATCAATCTTTAAACCAATCTTTCAAACCATCTCTTCCCTCGAATTTGGTGGTACCAGGTAAGATAGGTTCTGTTGTTCGACCCAAGGTCAAATCATCGATCTTTGTACTTTCCTAGGTTTTATACTGAGCAGGACAGCAAATGGATTATATAATACCAGCATCATATTTTTATAAGACCTTCGGTATCTGAATCAGTCGAAAGTCTTGCATCTTTCAATGCTCTCGATCGAGATAATTCTCAATTGAAATCGCTCCCTGCACCAACAATGACGTCCTCTTGTCGAATTAATTTATATACCACTGCTTTATGTACCACTTCATTGAAGGCTTTCTTTATCAGGATGAACTGGCCATGGGTCAAAAACTCAATCTGTCTATACGACTATACTCAATACTGTAGAAAAAAATACCGGATAACATTCGACAGTAGTTCCTTATTTTATTAAACGGGATTTATTTAGGTTCCATCGAGCATATATGTATGTATATAGAGGCTATCAATGGTATTTATACGACATCAAACACAGTCCATGACTTGCAAAAATTGGCACTTCAGTAGCAAGGGAAAATACCGACAGATTTCAAGAGCATGTACAAAAAAGGTGGTCAAATAAGGCCATGTGACCGATATACAACATACTACGATTGTAATCTTGCTCATGTACGAAACATACAATGGTTGCTGGCCACTGGCCTTTTGTATACAGAAGCTGTCAAGACAAAGACGACATCACTCACTTTCTCTGTCACTGACCAAACCTGCACGACTTATCGGTCTTATCCGAGTTATATATCCGAAGTATAAAATTGTGACCCAAAATATTTGAATAGGACCTTAAGTTATTCGGTTGAAGTGTACTAATATGCTGACCCACTCTCTGCACATTACAAAGGTGTCCCTGGAGAAGTTAACACATGGACAACTAGCTCAAATAACCTATAATAACACAGGCCAACAAATTTAAACCAGAGACCATAGTATACTTTTATAAAAGTTTTAAAAAACTTTTAATAAAGTTTGAAAAAAGCTTTAGGTTAAGATATCTCGAAAAGGAAGAATATATAACAGCGGTTAAACCTTTATTATAAAACCGATAGATTGGACTTTTGTATGACATAACAGATTTTTATAAATAAATGTAGCTTCACGCAGGTATAGAGTCTTAAATATGGCCTAAAACAAGTTTCGTTGAACCTTCATGATAAGATATCTGGAAAACTTGACCTTTAAATTATTTCAAATTCTGCAAACTCCTTACGTTTGACTAAAAAATATCGTTCCAAATAGACCAATATTAAAAAAACAAGTAGGAAAGTATACATCATGAGCATATTTTAAAAATTTTTTATTTTTTATAAAGAAACTTTTTTGTGGAATTTTTCCTTAATTCCGATGTATTTAAGCAAATTTATTTCTAAAAGAGGCTTTATATGGAAGTTAGGGTCAAATAAGGGCCGATTTTCAACAAATTGGTAGGAGAGATATATTTTTATATAAAGGTTTGTAATGCTGAATTTTATCGCTATACTAATGGTTATACTTAATTTTTGGACTGTTTTTAGAGGGTGGTTTGTATGGGGGCTAGGTTCAAACGACGACCGATTATTATAAAAATCGGCATGGTCATTTACGTCTATATAAATATATAAAGCTTAGTTGTGCCAATTTTTGGAGAGACGGTAGTATATTTGAGTTAAAAACCCCAAATCGGAAAATCAAGTTGTATGGGGGCTAGGTAAAATAATGGACCAATTTCAACCAAAATATCTTCAAAATTGTGGCCTGTTGCTTGCGCACAAGGTTTACATGGACAGCCACCCAGCCAGCCGGACAGACGGACGGACATGTCTTAATAGACTCAGAAAGTGATTCTGAGCCGATCGGTACTTCCAAAATTTTTGCGTTGCAAACATTAGCACAAACGTATAATACCTTCCCCACTATAGTGGTGTAGGGTATAAATACATATGATTTGTCAAAAATTATTTAAACCAGAAAAAGATTGCAGATTTTGGGGTTTTGAGAATTTCAGATTTCAAAATTAAAGAAAACAAATTTGAAATACTTATGTATATATAAAGAAAAATGTTCTAAATTATTTGCTGCTGATTTTTGAAAACATCACTTTTCATCAGTGCACAAAAATAGACTTAAATATTGAGGGATATTTTAGTCTGACCTATAATTACAAAACATACTGATAAAAATTTTGAATACGTGTATATAATTATATTAATTTTAATAATTGTATTTATTGCTAAAAATTATTACATATTTTTTAAAAATTGTTTTTAATTTTTGTTAATTTCAATTAAGCATGACCAGTAAAAACTTTTAATTATTAAAAAATAAATTAATTAAAAATAATTATGTTTTAATAACATGTTTACAGGATGACGATGAGAATGATTTCAGTGGTCCCGCATTAGGAGGGCATGTTAAAACGCACAGTGATGCATCCGATGATGATGACGACGATGATAAACCTGTTACGATGCGTTCAGCAATGATGCGTGTCTCCGGGAATCATCTAGATGTGCCAACTAGCAAAAAACCGTTTAAAATGGAAGTATTCGATCTGTAGACCTCTCATTAATTATAAACAACAGTTTAAGTAGAAATATACATAAACAATTTTTTGGTTTTTTTATTAACTACATAAAAGTAAGTTAAAGTTAAAAAATTAAATAAAATGAAAATACCAAAAAAAAATATAAATAAAACTCAAAATAATTTGCAAATAGAACAAAAACATAAAATAAATAGAACTAATTTATATTTGTAAATTTTTAAGAACAAAAAATATTAAAATAAAAAAAACAATTTATATTAAAAAAATGTTTGAAAAATTGAAAAAAAAGAGTTCGATATTGAGGAACAAAAATCTTGAGAATAAATAAAAAAAGTATTTGTAAATTAAAGAATTATGTAGTTTTTAGTTCTAAGTAAGTAGTTATTAAGATTAATGATTAAAATTTAAAATGAAATCAACAATTAAAACAGTATATGATTATGAAAGAATATTTGAATTAAGTTATTTAGTTATTTTAGTTCTAAAACTAAATTGATTTATTTATAATTTTACTTTTTAAATATAATATAAATATAAATAAACCCAAACCAAATAATTTTCTAGTTACAATAAGTTTTGTCAGTTGAAATGAAAATCCAAAAATATTGAAAATATCACCCAAAACTACAAAACTGTATAAATATTTAACTTTGCTTTAATAGTTTGAAATTTAGAACACGCATTTCCAAACAGAGTTCAACTCTAAAGTTTTTAATTTTATTTTCTCCTTAGAGTTTATTTATCCTATAAATTTATTAAAAACAAATAATAATTAGTATTATATATATTTTATTATATACATAAACTTATTTACAAATGTTTTTTTAATAATTATTTTATGTAAACAAATGACAAATTTATAATTATTTGTTTTGTAATTAAATGCTTGCCGCTTTAGAATTTATGTTCCCTAAAACTATAAAATAAATAAAAATTTAAATAATGAACAACTCCACATTCAAATGTATTTTAGATATTTTTTTATTTAATTATTATTATTTTTATTTTCAATGATTGATATTTTTAGGTTAACCTTTTAAGTATTATGCACTTGTATTTGTAATAATAATGATGCTTTATTGAAATTATAACATACGTTAGGGCGCATTTCTAACAGTGACCTGCAAAATTTTCACTCAACTTTTATGTGTAAGTCGAATTTTGTGGAAATTAGGAAAACAAATATAATTTTTAATTAAATTTTTAGGATTTACTAATTGAAAGTAACTTTTAAAAACATGTCAATAATTCAGATTAATATAGATAACTATTCAATTTTACTAAAACTTCGGATTTATGTTTTCCATTATCTGGACTATAACATTTTACAAAAGGTTTCCTTAAAATGCATAACAGGCTTTTTTTCGAAAAAAAACATATTACCCAAAAATGGGTTTCTACAAAATCTTTAGAAATTTAAATTGTAGCACGGTGGTTCCAAATCAGAATAAATCCAAATAATAAAAAATCGATATCTTCTGAATTTAAATAAAAAATGTTCTTTCGGTAGTTGCTCTACTCCAATACAAAAGGGTTTCTAAAATGGAGAAATTGAACATATGCTGGAAAATATTTTCCTTAAAAAATTTTTAATATATTAGTACTTAACTGAATTACGTGTATCTGAATTATTTTACCACCTAGAAGCCCACACTTCAAAACTTATATAAAAATTGGAATAAGTTTTTACTAAATGTATATTTTATATTCATTGGACTCTCCTTTAGTCCTTTAAACTTGGGTCTCAAATATGTAAATATTTCTATTATTTTACAATACTACATGTCGAGGGACTATATTCAATAGTCTCTATCTGTCATTTTCATGAAAATAAGATTTTGATGATAACCAGCAAACTATCCCGCATCAGTGACATATATTTCAAAGAAAAAAATATTTTTTGGCAATTTTATAGCAATTTTTAAATATCACTATCTTAAAAAAAGAAAAATTCTGAATGCAAAACTCTTTATCTTATCTTATACAAGAATTGCTTCAAACTCTATTATTTTGGATAATTTTCTGTTACAATTTCTTTACTAATGTGGACATGCTGAATACAAATATTTAAAATCCGCTTAATAGTTTTCGAGATATCGCTCATTATGCTACTAATTTAATTAATTTTATTGTCGTGTTTAATCATATAGTATAACATTGATTTTGTACCAAAACCTTATAATCTGTTGCTTTTTCAACAACTTGGTTTCTATTACTTCATTAAATTGCATATAATATAATTTTTATTGATTTTAAATCAAATAAAAAATGTATATTTCTATGAAAAACTCTCTATCTGAAGGTTGTAAAAAAATTTTCGTAGAAAAAAAAAGCTCTATCCGATATAAATTTGTGAATAATTTTGCAAATAATGCAAAATTTTAAATTCTTTTTATATAACGATTTACAATATGGTCGTAAAAATATATTGTAGAAGAAAAAAAATTAAAAGTCTTCAGGAACTAGCAAAATAAACAGTTTTTTTGCTCTCCTGAAAACTTGTATTATTTTAGATAGAGACTATTGAATATAGTCCCTCGATATATAGCTTGCCAAAAGACACATATTTATGGTAGACAATTTTAAACTGCATAGTTAGTTTCAGAGACACCAAATCCGAATAAAAACGATAGAAACTTTGTTAAAAAAATATTTTTAATTATATAGTTTCATATATCTAGACCCTACTGTAACTCAAAAATAGCTAATACAGATCTTTTTAAAAATGTTCCCTGGAGTCAGAGACACCAATTCTATAAAAAAAGGATCTTCAATATACCTACATATTTTTAAAATTAAAAAAATACGAAAAAAATTAAATTAAAAAAAAAATATAGTAAAGAGTAAAGTAATATCTATCTAAACTCCTTTGGACAATTTTTTCTAGGACCAATAGGTGAAAAGTTACACTCATTTAAAAAACCCTGTATGACCAAAATATTCAACTTTTACCCCCTCTAACTCCGGCAGCACTTGACCGATAAAGTTCTTGAGCGATGTGTCTGGCCTATTATCCAACAGTTCTGGTGCAAACTCATCAAGAACCTATATATTTGTTGTCAAAAACTAAATTTCTAAATATCTATAAAATTTTACTTAAATACTATAATAGAAAAATTAGTGTTAATAAATAAATTTCACAAGGAAATATTTTTGCCTTGATTATAACGAGACTGCTATCGGGCTCGCTTCGAAGATATATGGGTTTTTATTTCAAAATAAAGTCTGACAATGTTTTTTTTTTCGGGTTTATCACAAGTTGATTCAGAGAAACCCCACCAAACGATCTATACCTTCATATAGGAAGTTGGAGCACCGAAAATTGTTTTATGAAAAGTATTATTTGCTCTCAACGAAAATACTATTTTGCCCCGGTTATCGGTTAAAATATTTTTTGTATGAAAATTGTCAATTTAACCTCACGATAAAATATAACCAGACATTGAGATAATGGGGGTTAATGGTATAAATTTGAGTTTAAATGGTCTCGAGGTTATATCGTGAGTATAATATTATCTCCACCATTTAAACACATAACTTCACTCCGAGGTAAAGCGAAATCGCATAACTTGTAAATAGTTACACGAAGTAATATATTATATTAGTGCGAGTGAGACGTAACTCTGTCGAAACCTAGGCAACAAACACAAGCCTTACCGCCCATAAAATATAATGGCGATGAAACGAGAGTTGTTCCCCAACTCAGATCCGAATTACAAGTGTTTGATATCCTTACAAAATTAGCACTTTGTAAAAATATCGCTCATATTCGATACTGATTAAAAAGAAAATAGTCATATATACGATTTTCTTCTGAAAATAGTGTACCACCCGCTATTCTTCCTATAAAAGTCTTTTTAAAACGGCTTTTCCTATAATTCTGTTAGTATTTCAATGCATTGGCATGGAATTTTTCGAGTCTTTTCTTAAGGTTTCTACTGATTAGTTTTTAAACTTCCAAAATAGTCGACAGAATTCCAATTCTTCGATTAGTGACTTAATAATTTTCCAAATGTTGCTTGGTTTAGTATTTGCGCTTTATTTTATGAAAATTTGCAAAATAAATAATGGTTTCTTTAATACGCACAAAAATTCTTGCTTAAAATATTATAAAAATAATAATTTTTATTTAATAATCATACTTTTCAAACAAAACCAAATATAACTCTGTTGATATATAGAATTTATAATTTAAATAAAAAGTAATAAAAAATATTTTTAATTTAAAACAAGTTTCGTAAGACAAAAAAAAATAAACTGCTGTGAATAGTTTATAGTGGTTTTAATATAAAGAAAATAGTTTTTAAGTAAATAAAAGCTATAAACTTATTATTATCCATTTGTTTTATGATTTAATTAACTTGAACAATAATTTTGTTTGCCACAATGAAAGATATAAAATAGAAAACTTTGAACATTGATGAAAAACTTTTAAAGATTCGTCTAAGACAATAAGTGAATACATAATTTTTTTAAGAGATAAACGTGAAAACTCAAAATAAAAGAAAACTAAATTTTTATTTACAATTTCGAAAACAAAGAAAAATAAAACTAAAAATTTTTTATAAACAAATTTTATACTACTTAAGTTTTATGTTTTTAAATTTAATTTCAATTTATTTTCTGATACAAACATACATACATATAAAAAAAATCAAAATGCCATATAAAATGCAGAGATAAATTGTACCTTTTTAAGTAAAAAAACAAGATGAAAACAAATTAACAAAATTCACTTTGAAACAGGTCATAATGCTGTTTTATGAAAAAAATAAAAATATTATAAAATAAATAATCTAGTTATTAAGTTAAAAATTAGTTGAGGCTAAAAGAAAAATGTCTACAATTTAATGTTTATTTTAATTATTATATAAATGATATTGTACATTTATTATTATTATTATTATTATTAAATATTGTTCAAATATATTATTTAGTTAAAGCTTTTGTTTCAAATTAAAACAAATCATAACATTTTTCTTCAAAGAGTTGAAAACATTTGTTATTCACTGTTTATTAATTTTATGTTTAAATTCCATTGCCTAACTTTAGGATCAACTATTTTATTTCAAACCACAAATACTCCGTATCATATTGGAAATGTTTGTTTGTTTTACATAAAAATTAATTTATACATTATCTAGAATACTTACATACATTTCTCATACTTGCATATAAATTCAATAAACTCACCTAACCAATACATAAATACATACATACATTCATAGCTACAAATGTACACGTATTCAATCATGCACATAAATTATAATAATTATAAAACATAATTGTATTTTTAACATTAAACATTAAAATTATTGTTTGAAAGCAAAAAAAGTAAATAACAGAAACGTTTAATAAACAAATAAAAATTAAATAGTTGGTTAAGTTGAAAACAAACAAAAAAATTAAACATGTTTTTTTATTAAATGAAGTGGTAGGTATATAAAAAACAGATTTAAATATTAAAATTCTTAGAAATAATGACAAAATCAGAACAAAGTGTTGATATCTAAGAGTATACTCTGTGTCCTATAGAATCTCGTACTTTAAACTTTGTATAGAACCTTATAAGAGTCTTAAAACTTCTATAAAATACCGAAAATGATGACAAAACAAATACGTTCATACTATAATTCGATTTACGCTCCGGTACGAGCCGGTTCCCAAATCGACCAATGATTGTTAATTAACTCAGTCACCATTGTATCAACCTTAAGTTTTTCGCTTCTAACAATAGCGAAACTATTACAACAACAACACTGTCTTCACTACTAACCCTTCTCATTTGATCCTCAACTGGAAAATTTTGAATGAATATTCTCTTTTAAACTATCGATTAGGGATGCCAAACGGGACTGGCTTTTACAAAATTGCAAGATTTTTCAGGATTTCGGGATTACATGAATCTAATTATTTTATATATGAAAATCTTTAAATCATGACATTTGTAAAGAA